TGCATTACAATAGTCCAGTCTAGAGGTCATGAATGCATGAACTAGCTTTTCTGCATCAGAAACAGGTAACATGTTTCGTAGCTTGGCAATGTTTCTAAGATGGAAGAATGCTGTTTTTGTAACGTGAAATATGATTTTCAAAAGACAAGTTGCTGTCTAATATAACACCCAAATTTTTGACTGTAGAGGAAATAACAGTAAATCCGTCTAGTTGCAGTTTGTAATCCAAGAGATTCTTTGAACTGTTTTTTAGTCCAATAAGTAATATATCTGTCTTATCCAAATTTAATAGGAGAAAATTATTGGTCATCCAATCTTTTACATTTTTAACACATTCTATTAGCTTAGATAATTTAGAAGTTTCATATGGTCCTGTTATATATAGTTGAGTATCATCAGCATAACAATGGAAACTAATCCCGTATTTTCTAATAATATTACCAAGGGGCAACATGTACATTGAATATAGCAGAGGCCCTAAGACAGATCCTCATGGCACTCCATACTTTACTGGCGTTAATCTAGATGATTCCCCGTTTAAATAAACAAAGTGATAACGTTCAGACAGGTAGGATCTAAACCATCTTAATGCCTGCCCTTGAATAACCGTCTAGTTTTGTAATCGATCTATGAGTATGTCATGATCTATAGTGTCGAAGGCAGCACTAAGAACAAGTAAAACTAGCAATAAGATGCAGCCTTGATCTGATGCAAGAAGCAAGTCATTTGTAATTTTAACAAGTGCAGTTTCTGTGCTATGGTAGGGGCCTGAAACCTGACTGAAATTCTTCATAATTTTTTTTTGCAGGAAAGATCACAACTGAGCAGAAACAACTTGTTCTAAAATTTTTGACATAAACGGAAGATTTGAAATGGGTCTGTAATTTGCCAGTTCACTAGGATCTAGTTGTGGTTTCTTAATAAGAGGCTTAATAACCACCAGCTTGAAGGGTTTTGGGACGTGACTTAATGACGAGTTAATAATATTGAGAAGCGATTCTTCTGCTACAGGTAACAGCTCTTTCAGTAATTTAGTGGGTACAGGATTTAATAAACATGTTGTTGGTTTAGATGCAGTGATAAGTTTATTTAGCTGTTCCTGTCCTAAAGCTGTAAAGCACTGCAGTTTTTCTTTAAGTGCGATGCATGAAGCTGAGTTACAAGACGCTGTAGATTCTACATTTGTTATTGTATTTCTAATGCAATCTATTTTATCAGAGAAGAAATTCAAAAAGTCATTACTACTAAACTGTGAGGGAATATTTAGTCCGGGTGACTTCTGATTATTTGTTAATCTAGCCACTGTATTAAATAAAAACCTTGGATTGTTTTGGTTATTTTCTTTGATGTTTGCATATATGCTCGGCCCTGGCAACTTTTATAGCCTGACTATTGCTGGAAATACTGTTTTTCCACGCAATTCAAAAAACTGCGAGTTTTTCTACATTTGCGGTCAAGATTACGAGTTTCTTTCTTGAAAGAATGGGTATTACTGTTGTACCATGGTGCAATACATTTTGTAAAAATTGTGGGGGGTGGTGGCGCATGCCCGAAAAGTTTGAAAACCTCTGGCTTAGATGATTCAAGGTCTAACATACATGTTGTTGATTTAGATTATTTAATAAAATTATTCAATTCTTCCTGTCCTATAGCAGAAAATGAATTAAGTTGTTCGTCAGGGGATCTGTAGTGCACTATCTGATGTGACACTGTAGCTGACGGCTGAATGGTTGTAAATTCATTAATTTGACCACTGTATTGAATAAATACCTGGGGTTGTGTTTGTTTTCTTCTTAAAGAAACAAAGTAAGCAGATCTAGCAGTTTTTAAGGCTTTTCTGTAGGTAAAGTACTTTCCCTCCATGCAATACAAAATACCTCTCATTTTGTTTTCTTCTGGCGGTGCTCCATTTCCAGGCAGTTTTCTTTAGGGCCTGAGTATGCTCGTTATACCACGGTGTCGAACTGTTTTCCTTAATCTTCTTTAAGCATAAAGTAGCAACCATGTCAAAAGTGCTAGAGAGAGTCCATAGTTTCTGTTACAACATCAAGTTTCTCTGAGCTATTGGATCAGGAATTGAGACAAATCAGGAAGGTTATTTCCAAAGCAGTTTTTTGTGGTATATGTGATGGTTCTACCATATTTTTATCAAGGAATTGCGTTTGCCGCTGTAGCTATATGGAGTATACATTAGACTAGATAATGATCTGAGATATCACTCTGCTGCAGAATTTCAATGCCATTAACATCAATTCCATGTGATAGTATTAAAGGTATGATTAAGACAATAAGTAAGTCCCATCTAACCCTAATAGAGATTAGAATATCTACAAATTCTGATCCCAACGCATCTTTTTCGTTATCTACATGGATATTAAAATAGTCAACATTCAAGACTTTTTCTGCAGCCAGCACTAGCTCACTAGATAATGTAATATAATGCACCATTACTTCAAATGAATTATACATGAAACCAGACCTTTGGGAAATACTGAAAATATTGCTATAAATTGTAGCAACAACTCCCCTTTTACCTTTTGAATGTGGCTCATGTTTATAACAGTAATCTTTGAGGGGTAGATTCATTTAAATAATGTAATCATCTGGTTTTAGCCAGGTTTCTGTCAAACATAGCATCTGTGATCATGTCGTTACAAAAAGTGCTTTCGTAGAAAGGGATCGAATATTCATTAAGCTAAGCTTTATCATTTGTTTACCTGTATTATATCTGTTTTTCACTTCTTGAACATCAATTAAATTGTTACCCTTAAATTGGTTTGGAAGTTTTTTGTATTTGCTAGTTCAGCAATATCTAGTTGAAAGCGTCAAGTCAAGTCACCTTTATTTATGTAGTGCTTCAACAATACAGATTGTGTCAAAGCACTTTACAGTATTAGATAGGAAAATAGTGTCAATAATGCAAAATTACAATAGTAAACACTCAATTTTCAGTTAAAGATAGTTCAGCATTGAATTCAGTGATGTCATCATCCAGCTCAGTTCAGTTTAAATAGTATCTGTGCAATCAAGTCAATGATATCGCTGGATATTAAGTGTCCCCAACTAAGCAAGCCAGCGGCGACAGCGGCAAGGAACCAAAACTCCATCGGTGACAGAATGGAGAAAAAACCTTGGGAGAAACCAGGCTCAGTCGGGGGGCCAGTTCTCCTCTGGCCAGACGAAACCAGCAGTTCAATTCCAGGCTGCAGCAAAGTCACATTGTGCAGAGGACTCATCTGGTTCCTGTGGTCTTGTCCCGGTGGCCATCTAGGAGACAAGGTCTTTACTTGGGATCTGTCTCTGGGGCGCATCTAGTTGTCCTGGTCTCCGCTGACATTCAGGGCTGTCGAGGTAATCTCTAGGTGCTGATCCACCATCTGGGCTGGATACGTACTGGATCCGGGTGACTGCAGTGACCATCTGATCTGGATACAGACTGGATCTGGTGGCTACGGTGACCTCGGAATAAGAAAGAAACAGACTAATATAAGCGTAGATGGCATTCTTCTAACGATGTAGCAAGTACATCGTGTGTTATTTGAAGTGTTCCCAGTTCCGGTTGTCCTAATTAATGCAGCCTAAAAATTCTTTAACGGATTTGAATATTAGAAATGTGTTAGTGTGTTATGTGTAAGCCAGCATTCAGGGCTTTATAAGTAATAAGCAAGATTTTAAAATCTATACGATGTTCAATAGGGAGCCAGTGCAGTGTTGACAGAAGCGGACTAATATGGTCATACTTCCTGGCTCTAGTAAGAACTCTAGCTGCTGCACTTTGGAGCAGCTGGAGTTTGTTTATTAAGCGTGCAGAACAACCACCCAATAAAGCATTACAATAATCTAACCTTGAGGTCATTAACGCATGAATTAACGTTTCTGCATTTGACATTGAGAGCATAGGTCATGATTTAGATATATATTTTTTGAGATGAAAAAATGCAGTTTTACAAATGCTAGAAACGTGGCTTTCAAAGGTAAGATTGCTATCAAATAGCACCCCTAGGTTCCTAACTGATGACGAAGAATTGACAGAGCAGCCATCGAGTCTTAGACCGTGTTCTAGGTTATTACATGCGGAGGTTTTAGGTCTAATAATGAACAACTCTGTTTTTTCAGAATTTAGCATTAAGAAATTACTCATCATCCAGTTTTTTATATCGACTACGTTAGTTTTTCAAATTGGTATGTTTCGCCGGGCCGCGAAGTTATATAGAGCTGAGTGTCATCAGCACAACAGTGAAAGCTAACACTGTGTTTCCAGTAATTGTGAGGATACTACCTTTTCTAGTATCTTGGACAGAAAAGGGAGATTCGAGATCTATCTGTAATTAACTAAGTCTTAAATTAATTAAGAGTCTCTATGTGCTGAGAATTAACTGACTTCTGTGATGTGAGGCTGCTAGCAGACGGTCAGTTTAGCCAGTCTGTCTGCTTCCTGACCTGGGCCCCTGTTAGTCGAATATGCACTGTGTTAGCGGTGTAGATTAAACAGTGAACAATGTAAAATTAGATTGATAGATAATATCAGAAATATGGTGATAAATTAAGTTATATTTTAGTAAGGTATATTTAAGTTATATTTTTAGATAGTAAGAGAGATTACAACAGAAAAGCAAAGCTACACTGGGCTACAATCACAAACCACTCAGCGCCCATTTCAGTAACATCTTTGTGATTGTAATGTATTGTCAGTGTCATCGATCACATTTACACATTTATAATTCATATCATTCCGTCCTTGTTTTGAACAAGAATGACATACTTAGTTGAGCAATTGACAGGTTCCCTTTCGTGCAGTCAGTCAACAAGTCCACATTTACAAAAGAGATGCCTGATTAGACCTCATTGGAGAAACCTCACTCTGAGCAATCCTTTCGAGTGCTGAGTGCACAGAAGCAGAGTAATTCAAACAGTGAAGTGTCCCAGTGCTGTTAAACTGAATACATGCATTCTTGAAATACCAATTTTTGATCAAATTTGTGGACTGTTTCTTTTTTCAGGTGAAATTGTTACCATGGGGATTCTTCTAGCAGTCGCAGCAGAAATAGCAGTCAGTACAATAGCAGCTGTTACCGAAGCAGCAGCAGAAGCAGCAGCAGCAGCAATATCTGTCACCACTGCAGAATTTTCAGAGGAAACAGCTGTCCTAGGAGAGATTGCAGCAGAAGCAGCAGCTGAAGATGCAGCTGAAGCAGCAGCAGCAGGGCTTGTTGTTGATGTGGGAGAAGAAACTGAAATAATCACTCAGAAATGCTTATTATTTATAGCAAAGTTCAACAAATCGATAAAAGAATTCTGTGCCATTGATGCCATTTTTAAAGCTGCAAACGAGCTTTTGCACAACTGTTCTACACATAACATATGCAATAAATCTGAGAGACTGAACAAATCTCTTGACATTTTACACAAGCTCCAGACCAAAATGACAGATGTCAGTAACTGGCTTGAAGAGCACAAGGGTGATACTGTGATACTTGAAGGATTTCAGGTACCTCTGGATTCAGCGCTTTTGAAAAAAGTCTTGAAACCATTATCAATGGTAAGTTATGAAAGCTCATTGAAGACAAAATTCATAGGCTCTTGCAGATTGTGTCTGCAGATGTCTTATTTGAGGATTAATAATTTGTGGTATATATAGGTCAGGATAGTAGGAAAAGTAATAATATAATTAGTTTGAATGGATTCAGTTGAGATGCAGTTTTGTCACAGGATTTTAATAATTTTTATTTAAGATTTGATGCTTATGATTTTAAACAGGAAATCGATGGGTTGAAAAATGAATGTAGAATAAATGGGGAGTATGATTGTGTCTTTTTTAATGTGAGAGATGTGATAACAGTTTTTAAACAGTGTAAAATCAGGAAGGCACCTGGGCCTGATGATATAGTGGGTAGGTTACTTAAGGAATGTGCCAAGTAGTTAGGTCCAACATTATGAAATTTTTGCTCTGTCCCTTCCACAACAAAAAGTACCTGCACTGTGGAAGCAGTCTACAGTGATTCCAGTGCCAAAAAAACATAATGTACAGGTATTGGATGATTTCAGACCTGTGGCGCTTACATCCCTAGCGATGAAATGTTTTGAAAAAATAGTTAAGAAAGTAATTATGCGAAGGACACAGAGTTCTCTAGACCCCCTGCAATTTGCATATAGGCCTAAGCGAGGGGTAGAGGATGCAGTAGCGACTCTCTTACACTTAATATTTCAGCATCTGGATAAGCCGAAAGCATTTGTTAAATTACTTTTTATTGATTTTTCATCCGCTTTCAATACCATTCAGCCACATATTTTAGTTGAGAAGCTCATTAATGAATTTGGGTTGGATTTTAGTCTCTTAGGATGGATTTTAGTTTTCCTTGTGCAGAGAACAGACAGAGTTAAAGTAAATGACTGTTTTTCTGAATGGCTGGTGTCCTCTACTGGGTCACCTCAAGGATGTGTCCTCTCTCCTTTATTATTTATCTTGTACACAAATGACTGTAAGAGTAGTTATAGAAATAGGCATATTATAAAATTTGCTGATGATTCTGTAATCGTTAGCTTAATGAGTGAGGAGGACTCCATGTATGGTCCTGTGGTTGATGATTTTATAAGGTGGTGTCAAAATGCTTTCTTAAAACTTAATGTTTCTACAACTAAGGAGATTACTATTGATTTTAATTCTAGGAGGAAATCTATTCAGTTTAAGCAAACAAGCATTAATGGAGTAGGTATTGAGAGTGTTGAACAGTACAAGTACTTGGGTATTGTTTTGGATAACAAATTGTCCTTTTCTCCCAATACTGATGTTTTGTGTAAGAGGGGGCAGCAAAGATTGCATTGCTTGCAGAAACTAAGGTCATTTAATGTGGACAAAACATTGATGTGCATGTTCTACAAATCCGATATTGAGTCACTGTAATCTTTTTCAGTGTTGTGCTGGTTTAATTCTCTAAATGTGAAAAAGAAGAATTGTCTTTAGAAGATTGTAAACCAGGGAAGTAAGATAACGGGGAGGAAGCAGATGACTATGGCCCAGTTATATCATAGACAGGTTTTGGGTAAAGCCCAGAGCATTTTGTTAAATGATTCCCACCCCATGTATCACGAGTTCCACCTTCTCCCTTCTGGCATTCGTTATAGAACCCCTATTAGTAAAACAAATCAGTTTAGACATTCATTTATCCCTTCAGCTGTAAGGTTTTTAAATTTAAGGTAAGAATTTTTTAAGGAAGGAAATGGATTGTGTTTTTTGTTGTGTTTTTGTTGTTTATGTGAAATGCTTGTATGCTGCAACCAAATTGCCTTCGGGAAATGAATAAAAGCATTCAAAAAAAGATCCTTTATAGATTATGTATTACACTTATATAAGTGCATGATCAAAAATGATGGAGCAGTTTAAGTTCTTTTAACTGTTATCAGGAAAAACTGCAACTGCTCCCGCCGGTGCCTTTGCAGCCCCCAGGAGGTTAAATGTTGAGCAAACAGCTCATTGGCTGCAAATACAGCTTAGGACAATCAGTTGGTGCCATTTAGTGTACAATGCTATTGCTAGCAGCTTGTGCCATCTATAGCTGCCATCTCACAGCTGAAACCCCTGAGGTTTTTTCAGTGTGCATGCTTACTGACTGAATTCTGACTGAAACTAGCTTATTCTCTCATCATAAGCAACAAAGTGCAGATGTACATACGATGGAAGTAAGAGAATAATTTATCATACAGTGTATGGACAGCAAGCTTCATTGATTATAACAGGAGTTTTGAGTGCTTAAACTCTGGCTAGACTGAAGTCAGTGATAATATTATTTAGAGTCAATGTTCTTTGCTCGCTTTCTCCATAATTTACTCGCTGTTTGAATAACTGTGGAAATTAAAGCATTATAATTAGTAATGTCTCAGTTGCGTATGGTAACCCTTGTTCCCTGATGGAGGGAACAGAGACATTGTGTTGAAGTTCTGACACTAAATCATTTTTGTACAAAGCTCACCTATATATCTTGTTTCATTGTCTCCTTATTTTCAGGCTCTTGGATCATTGGAAAAGCTCACAGCTGATGTCAGTAAACTCAACATGAATAACCAAGTCATCAGTAATGCCCAGATTCTTTCACTTGATAGAAGTATGATCCGTATTGTGGCAACTTTTCATGAATTAGCTGCCTTTAAAGAAGAGAAAAGTGATAAAATTCCCATTCTGAATTCATTTCCTATTACCATGGAAGAAGTGAATGAATGGAAAGATGAACTTGGCTTTGCAGATGATGGAGGGTTATGTGTTTTAAACAGTGAGAGATATAAATATCCAGAATAGGTGTCAAATGCAAAGTGACTTTGAACATCATAATTTTAAAAGGATTTTGTTTGTTGAGTGGAGTCTTGAATCAAAGGGAGTGTATTGTTTTATAATCACGTGACAAAAAGCCATTTTGATTAATATACATATGTTTCATTTAATTACTTAAGAGTACTAAGAAAGTAATTTTATTCATTATAATAAGCAACCAGTGTCACATCAAGTGTAGTTTAGTAACTGTTTTATATTTGAATAGAAGTTGCCAAGTCTTTGTTTGCCATCTTATCTACTTCTTAAGTCTTTCTGAATCTCTTCTTGAGTCTTTTTAATCCTTTCCTTGACCAAGGCACATGTGTTTCTTGGAATGCCCAAGGCCTTTTTTACTCTAAGGAAATATGGGTTGTGACAAAGAAATTCCTTTTGTTCATTGTCAATGCTACTGTGGAAATAAAACATTTTTAAACCAGTGCAATTTGATGATTTCTGTGTTACTGCTATGTTATTTAGCACTGTCACATTAATACACATTGATACACCCGGGGGAGTTGGGTGATGAAACCAAGTGAAGTTTATTAAAAAAACAAAAAAAGTGACTGAAAAAAGGAAAACCATGACCTTGGCTAAACTTGACAGGTGTTATCATCTGGATTTAGGGTTAGGATTAGAAAAAATCCAAGAGCTGAAGCACAGTCCA